GGAGAAATGCCAGCGTGGATCAAGCTGTGTGAGGGGCGGTAAAGGAGTTAACAGCTAAGTTGATTTAGTTTTCGATATTCACATTCAGTGATAGGTGGCAATAACTCACACTCCTCTTATCCTAAACAGATCTAAACTGTGTTCTTATAAAAATAAAAAAAGCAGGTTATGTTTACCAGCGGTCTTTTTCTTTTTTTGCACTCGATATTATGAGCACTGCTTAGTTTAAACCCTCGCCATTGTAACGCATATAAATACATACACTAATATTTGCTGGTAGGAAATATCTATTTGTTCTAGGGATGGGAAGATTAATCGATATGTATCGATACGCGGTCATGCGCGTGCACGATGCGAGTGCATCGTTGAGCAGCAGAGGATGAATGAAATTTTGGAAGCAAATCGAGATGCATCGGTTTTTGCGAGATGCATCGGTTTTTCCGAGATACAGCTTATTTTTTTAATATAGAATGTTTTTTTATTTATTAACAAGTGTTGTTAACCTGTTTTTGGCGCATAATTTAATCAACCTACATAAAGTAAGCCTTAGCAACGGATTTGCGGATGTGTACACCTACACTACAACTCAGTGTATCAGGTGTGCGGATGAAGCTAGTGGTGCGCCCTCAGAAAGCGCGAGAAGCAAAACAAAGATTTTATTCCCCACTGAGTTTTATATCTAAAGTATGGCAACATTATGGATTTAAGGATGGACGACTTGACAGGACAGATGCAATTTGCAAAATGTGCCGCGCATCTATAAAATACGCGGGCAGTAAGAGTAATCTGAAATCTCACTTGAAGCGGCGCCACGGTGTTGTTGTGAAAGCATCTTCCAGTGTTCCTACATTCCCGGCTTTCACACTGCTTCAACTGTAGCTACCAGCTCCAAAAGTGGTGAGAAAAGCATTGCAAGTTTTTTTTTCCATGCGCAAAAGTTTTGTGCGCTCTATGCCAATAACGGATGTTATTGCATTGTTCATCTGCAGGGCCGGAGCAAGCTGAACTGCTGCTCTAGGCAGAGGACGATCACGCCGCCCTCAACCCCAATGTGAAAACGAAAGTGACCGGTTATGAAAATGAAGTGACGTGTCGCGGACCTCTATTCTGCCGCCTTATGCGCGGATATAACTGAGGACGCGCGGGTGTCGCGGACCTCTATTCTGCCGCCCTATGCGCGGATATAACTGAGGACGCGCGGGTGTCGCGGACCTCTATTCTGCCGCCCTATGCGCGGATATAACTGGGTGTTGCGGACGCCGCCCTCTCTATACTGCCGCACTAGGCGGTTTTAAACACCTCCTCCTGTTAATTTTTATTTAATTATAATAATAATAATAATAATGATAAAAATAATGGTAGTTTGACCACCTCACAGCAAGAAGATTGCTGGTTTGTTATATTTTTATTAGCCTGTTGTTTACAGTGATAGTGATGTTTCAAAGCAGCATAACACTGCTAGTTCATGACCTTAAGTTTTGAATAATCAGTGGCAAAATATCTTTGTAAAACTTGTTTTCATAGTTGAAAAGTTAAATCACAATTCTTGTTGTGCAATGCTAAACCTTTATGTTGAAAGAGTGCAAATATATTTATATTTTAATATATATTGCACTTATACATTCTGTTTATCTTGAAAATACTTCAAATAATATGTGCTATAGGTTCTAAAATGGCCCTCTACTGTAAACTGACACTCTGGCTCTGAGAGAAAAGCCAGTTTGTAAAAAAAGTCTTGGTTTTGCTTGGTTAATAAATAATCAAACTCATTCAATGGCACAGCATCCTCTTTTACATTATCTCATAAACTTGATCTAATTAGTTAGTGCTGAATTATCGCATTGTATCGTGATATGGGTGTGAATCGTATCGTGTCGCATCGCAATATGTCATAAATGTATCGCTAATATATCGGATCGTATTCTTTGTATCGAGATGCGTATCGGATCGGCATTATAGCTTAGATGCCCAACCCTAATTTGTTCACTTCTGTTATTTATACTTTGATTTGCATTTCAATTTTTTTTCTTCCACTTAACTGCAAATTTGAATAAAAACTGGATAAAGAGCACACAAACATGCTGACAGTAATAGGTACTGTACACTGTTATGGGTCAATGATGCTAATATTCGGCACAAATCTATCAGTTTCTTAGGTTATTAGATTATTTTATAATTTCACCTCTCCTGCTGTGCATGAACTATGCTGTTGAATGTTCAGCGTATGAGGTTGCTAGGCTAACCTTGCTTCAATTTTGATAAAATTATTTTCTAATCAGTTGCTATTATGTTGTGAATATACCCCTGTAATGTATACTGCAGTCCTCTTTTGTCTGGCTTTCTCAGATATCTCACCTGTTTGTCAAAAATGACTAATAAATCCTTGGGAATGTCTGACACCAGCGCATACACACTGTAATAGATGTGCCAGGCATGAAAGCTTGACAGGCGTAGCAACAGTAACTAAGGAGGGCGAGGCTTAGCGAAGGGTTATTCCAAGAATGTTGATATGGTTTCTTTCTTGCTTTACTATTTATTTACAATACACAAAAAACTAAAAGGTAAGGGTAAATTCTTTAATAAATTCTAGTGTTTTTGAGTACTATACTTGTTGTATACTTGTATTATACTTATTATAGTAGTATTAACAATAGTGAACAGATAAAATACAAAGTGTAGTTTTACTACAGTAAAGTGTAGTGATTTGTAGTATAAAATACCCTATATTGTAAAATAATACAGCACTGGGTAATTTGTTTATATTACACTTGTGTTACCATAGCAACTATAGTATTACCACAACTGATCAATTGAAGTTCTTTACTGTAGTAGGCTACTGTTCAAAACACAGTACATGCCAATATACGTGTTCAGGGGCCCTGTGGAACAGCTTTCCTCAAAATAAAGAGGATGACATGGAAAATGTCCTCCACAATTTCATCAGCAAAGTGGAAGCCAGCAGACACTAGTTTACTTTATTTTAGCTGCCATGATAAAATGAGATTGATAGTGAGATTTATTTGAAGAGTGAATAATACAGTAGGCTATAATACCTTATCAAGTGTTTCCTTATTTTATCACAGTTACATTTCCGCTTGCATTAGTTTTTGTTTAAATGCTTTTAAAATAAAATGTATTCTTTACATCCAACATCTATTCCAGGGGTGCCTTATAGTGGTGTAAACCCCTTTACAAGGGGTGTTTCCCCTGTGTAAACTCTAGCCACCCCGATATGATTTTGCTGTTGACATTATTTATTTAAATCAACTTACATAAATGCAATACAATGCAATATTTCAATAAATAAATAGCAGCCACTAAATTATTGTGGATTGATTGATGCCACTGACATAGCTGGCCTCTTCTGGCCACCCCTAAGCAAATTTTCAGGGGGGCACCACTGGTCTATTCTCTGTCTTTAAGTGTTTGAAACTGAAAATATCTCATCATATAAAACAACCAAAAATGTTATGGTTTATTGGATTACACATTTAATATGTAAGTCTATTTTAGTATTTTGGGTATTGTTATTAAACAGTGCAGCAATATGAATCATATCAAAAAGCATGAAAGGAAGAGGGAACACGACACAAATTGTGAGTCTGCATATAATCTCTGAGAGCGCTCAAGATAATTTGTGTGTGAGCAGTGCATATTTGAGAGCGAGAGAAAATTTGCGCGTGAGCAGCGTATATTTGAGAAGTCGCAATCAGTTTTGTCCACAGAGGAAATCCGTGCACGAGCATCACACAAGGTAGAGAGCAAAGCTCTTCAACGTTATGTGAAGAAAACAACGTTATTGTTTGTATGAAGTAGCCTACTTCATTAACAATATGTGCTACCATTTTACATTGCTGCTAGACAGATTTGCAACTCCATCTCTTTAGCACACACGAGATTCAATTGACAAAATTCCAATTTCACTCAATTTAACTTTGCAGCATATACAGGAGTTGGTCTACTGCTACCACATTGAGGTTATGTAATTTTGGTTAATCACAAGTTGATCACCGAAGACATAACATAGCACAACTAAACTTAATGAATTAGACAGCAGTAGACCTGCAATTTCTGTGTGATGTGAGGCAAAATGGAGTCTTTTTCTGGTGGAACTCGTTCTTGTGCATTATGCTGTGAAGACGAGACGCAGCACTGTTCAGTACTTTTTCAGAAAATTGCATTTGTATTTTTATATATCTGAGCAATGTTCTTTCATAAAAAAGGTTTGTTTAATTAATACAGATCTTACAACCATACCTAATCTGTATATATTTTATTTTTCTGTTAAAAAGACTCGAAAAGACTCGAAAATCAAACTGCAGGACTTTGGACTTGACTTGAGACTTGTTGCCTTTGACTCGGGACTTGACTCGGGACTTGCCTGTCTTGACTCGGGACTTGACTCGGGACTTGAGGGCAATGAATTGAGACTTACTTGTGACTTGCCAAACAATGACTTGGTCCCACCTCTGGTTCACACAGCGCAGCATTCCGACAAATAACTGATAATGATACAACTTCTCTTTCCAAAAAAAAAAGCCAGAATGAATTTAACAATATTTTCAAAAAGGGCCTGTTCACACATACAGACCTTTCTGAAAAATTACCTGCAATTTTCCGGAAAGGTCTGTATGTGTGAAAGGGGCTATTGTATCATGCCGTATTGGTTGACTCAGCCCAACACTATGCACAGGAGACAATGATGTGATGACCTCTGAACGTAGTACATCCATGGAGATGATGTTTGTTTTTGAATAACGTTCCAATTTCAACAGTTTACAGTACCTCCTCAGACTGTACACTAGTTGTGTTTCACTACAGTATAAGAGGATTAATCACACCAGCCTGGATTATTGGTATTGACCATAAGGCTGGCACCTACTGTAAATGCCTTTTTAATGTTGGATTTTAGTGAGACTTCTGTTTGTACTGGAGTAATGCTAAAAGACTAGTGATGTAAAACTGAATAATAAAACAGAAAACCTGAAGGTAAACATGTAATATGGAAGGGAAAAAAATCAGTTTTCAAAGTGATTATGGTTGGATGGAAAAATTCCTCTTGAGTCTGTAATTTAGCATATCAGACTGAACTGATTAGAAAAAATCAGAAAGAAAATGTGCAGCAGTTGGAGATTTACATGGATTAGGGATAAGAAACACTGCTTTACATGTACTGTAAGTCAGTTATCACTTAAGTTTTATATGAGTTGTGAAATATTCTTCTCACAGATCCACTGAAATGTTCTTTCACAAGAGACATCAGACCACCCTGATGTATAAGGCCATTCTGTCACTTTATCAGCAGACACAACACAGTTCTCATTTGTGTCTCCATTTGGTTCATTAGATCCAGATGCCCAGAAGCTCAAACTACAAAACAGAATCAGAAGTTCAGGGCTGCATTGCATGTTATGATAACGGCTGTAAGAATCATTTATTAAATAATAATTAGTTCCGTTTGGTGATTTCTTACTCATTTTTCATTGCACTGCCATCAACCCATCTCCATGTGCCCTCAACAATAATGTCATTCAGACCAATCCAGACTGCAGCAACATTAGACTTTCTCATAACAAAATCCTGAGCACACAAGACAATTACAGATTAATATCAGAAACTGGTCATTGTCCATCTCTCACTAAGCTGTAACACACAGACACACACACAAACACAAACACACGCACACACACATACACACACACACGAACACAGTGAGAGAGAGAGGGAGAGAAACACAGTCTCTAACTCACTTGTTCCTGTTGGTTGTTTATGATGATCAGATCTGCACCTCTCGCTATACAGTCACTTCTGCTTACAATCCAGGTCTTTGATATATTGGACTTGTAGTAAAAACTGGACTGATTGTAAGTCCACCCATCTGTAAACAGAACAAGTAGAGTTTTTTTTTTTTTTTTTTTTTTTCCATTTGCCCTCAATCACCAGAAACTAGCAGATAGTACTCAGTCAATAAATGTAAGTGTAGGCTAAATCACACCACAACATTCTCCAGCATGTTTTTGAAAATGTCTACTGTATAGAAAATTAATACATAGACTAAAAAAACACTTTACCTCCAGTCAGAATTTTTTTCAGCTGATTCAGAAGATTTTCTTTCTTCCATTTTAGCTGGTCTGTCTCATTCAATAGATTTGTGTTGTTTTGTAATAACTGATTACTCTTTTCTGTGAGGTTGGTGATGTTGGTTAGTAGCTTAGCTCTGTCTTCTGTAATGTTGGTTAGTAGCTGGCGTCTCTCTTCAGTGTAGTTTATGCTGTTTGTATAGATGAAGACACTCAGCACTAAAACTGCAGTCAGCAGAAGAACACATAGCAGGATCAAACACACTAGTGCTGCTCTGAAGCTTTTCATTCTCTCTAAATCATTTCCTGGAGATGAACAAACATTTAACATAATATGCATAAACATAGCATGAAAACAGAGTCATTATTGAATATTATGTTTAATGTAATGTATTCATGATTAATCTCAGTACCTGTGAGTTCAGATGACTGGATTCTCATTGTGTTGTCATTGATCTCTTCTCCAGAAATACATCCTATAACATCATTCTCATAAATATCATCAGTGGTTTGTCTACCTCCTTTTTGGATTCTCCAGGTTGTTGCTTTTTTTATATTTTCGTCGTCACATTTATGTGCAGTACCTTTGAGTTCAGATGTCTGGATCCTCGTTGTGTTGCAGTCTGTGAACCAATGTCCAGATTGCTCTCTTATTCCATGGTTTTCGTAGATATCACCAGTGTTTTCTCTGTTCTTTCTATGCATTTTACAGGTTATATCCTTTTAGGTTCAGTTACTCTTTAAGACACTTGCAGTGCCGTTAATGATACACTATTATATTTTCTCTTCTGGAGCAGTCTTGGTTGTGGTCTTCAACTGTTTGTGTATATTTTTGTGTGGAAAGTACTTGTGCAATCAGTAAGTTTTGAGGAAATGTTTCAAGTATTTATGCATATAGGAACTGTTTTTGTGGAAGTGTTTTTATCTTTGTATTCAAATTAATTGAAACTCATTGCATAAAGACTCTGAGTTGTTATTATTATTATGATTATTATTATTATCATTATTATTATTATTATTATTATTATTATTATTATTATTATTATTGTGTAGACTTTTACTTTCTTTCAAAGTGCAAAAAAAGCAATGTAATACTGTCCATTCTTCCTAAATTATATTGTTTTAAATTAACTTATACATTCATACATTCATTCATTTTCTTTTCAGTTTAGTCCCCTTATTAATCTGGGGTCGCCACAGCGGAATGAATCGCCAACCTATCCAGCATATTTTTACTCTGCGGATGCCCTTTCCAGCCGCAACCCAATCTCTGGGAAACATCCATACACTCATACACAATTTTAGCATACCCAATTTTTCCTGTACCACATGTCTTTGGACTGCGAGGGGAAACCAGAGCACCTGGAAGAAACCCACGCGAATACGGGGAGAACATGCAAACTCCACACAGAAATGCCATCTGACCCAGCTAAAGCTCGAAACAGCAACCATCTTGCTATAAGGTGAATGTGCTACCCACTTCGCCACCGTGCCGGCCTTAAATTAGCTAACAGATGAAATCTGAACGTTTTTTTTAACTAATGGAAAGCCATATCAGAGTTTACTAGAGTTAAAAATTTTAAGTCTAGAAGAACATTTTATGAAACAAATGTTCGAGCATAAATACACAGTAAACATGTAAATCAACATTTATATATCAGTATAATGCAGATATGAATTGGTGGAAGTCATGTCTAAAGCAGCGTCTACCATTTACATTATGTCTAGATTTACAATAATCGTAAAACAATATTCAAGACTTGCTCATAATTTAATCCTTTTTGTGAGAGTCAGAAGTGTACAAATAAATGTCATTCAACCAGTGGAACAGATTGTCTTTGGAAAAGTGTTGATGGTATTTCTTTTGAGTGCAGAAATGCCAGTTTACAGATCAAACCACAGAAAACATCAATGTGTAAATGTATACACATAGAAACATAGTGTATTTAGGTTTTGGATATATTTTATTTAAATTAATGTTTAAATAACTGAATAAACTTGAATAACACACAATATTGTCCTGCCCAAGGATGTTTATTGTATATTATCATGACAAACCTATTTTGGGTTCGTTACATCACAACATTAAAGATTTGACAACGGAAAATACTTCACTATACTCTTATTAAGACTGTTGATGATGGGTTGATATTTGTTGAAGAGCTGACAAAAAAAAAGTATAACATCTGTCTAAACTTTTATTTCAGAAGAATATACCTACACTCTGTATATTTTAAGTATACAGTATAAACCAAAAGTTTGGACACACCTTTTCATTCAAAGAGTTTTCTTTATTTTCATGACTATGAAAATTGTAGATTTTCACTTCACATGTGTGCCCTGTCAGGTTTAAAAAGTGGGATTTCTTGTCTTGTAAATGGGGTTGGGACCATCTCTGTTGTGCAGAAGTCAGGTGGATAAACAGCTGATAGTCCTACTGATTAGACTGTTAGACTTTGTATCATCACCTCCTTTTTTCCAGGGTTTCTCACGTATTTTACAGTTCTATCCCGCTATGATCCCATAAAGGTATTTTCCCGTATTTCTACCGTATTTTCAGTCTTTCTCTGAAGGGTGGCAAATAAACATTAAAAAGTAGAGCCTCCCATATGAAACCCATACCGCCGAAACACCAGAGCCCGCCCCCTGGCTTTTAAATTCGAGTCTTTTCTGTGCTTTTGCTTTGTTTAGGTGCGAAAAAACTTTAAAATAAACATAAAAAACGGCGCAATTTCCTTCCTTTTTTTGTTGCAGGTGTCGTCTCCCCTTCATATACAATCCTCAAAACAGTCATAGCCCTGCATGACTGTCAGCTGATGCACTCCATAGTGATAAATAGACGCTGTTTCCCAAATGGATTTTGTACTTGTGATTTGAAGCCGAGAGAAAGTCTGGGTTTTGGTTGCGTGTTTAAACAGATATACAAATAATTAATAATAATAATATCTAAGTAGCATGTAGAACAGGGGTGACCATCCCTGTTCCTGGAGATCAACCTTCATGCAGATTTCAGTTGCAACCTATATTAAACACACCTGCCTATAATTATCAAGTGCTGTTCAGGTCCTAATTAATTGATTCAGGTGTGTATGATCAGGGTTTGAGCTGAACTCTTTAGGAAGGTCGATCTCCAGCAACAGGGTTGAGCACCCCTGATGTAGAATATGTTCTCGCACAATAATTTTACAAGCATTTTTTGGAAACACATATTGGGCCTATCATACACCCGGCGCAATGTGGCGCAAGGCGTGGCGCAATATTAGTTTGCTAGTTTCAGCTTGGCGCAAGAGTAGTTTTGAGGCGTTGCGCCCGCAGTAAAGGCGCAGTTCATATGGAAATGAACTGAAGGGGAGCCAACCAGGTGATAATGTACACGCTCCCCGAGACATGACATCAAACAACAAGCTTTATTATAGTTACTTTTTTTTTTTTGAATAATGGCACGTTACTGAAGTGAAGAAGCACAGTACTAAACAGCGACAAGAATTTACCTTCTCCTCAGAGGAAGAGCGCGACTCTATGAAGAGCGCATGCATTTTGAAGAACGTCTACCCAGCAAAGGACAGAATACCTGTTGATAAGTCTTTTATTCTAACCTTTATGATTTATATGAAATATGTCCTTACAGGCAACTTATAGTTTCATTGCTATACAAAGTGTATCCTATAATATATAGCGTATAATGATAAACATAGGCCTATATATTGTTAAATGTAATGTTATATGAAATAAATAATTATAATTATATATATATATATATATATATATATATATATATATATATATATATATATATATACTTATTTTTTTCTCAGATTGTTTCTTGAAACTCTTAGGGCTCTATTTTGACGGTCCTTGCGCAGAGCGCAAAACGCAGGGCGCAAACGCTTTCAGGGCGTGTGAGGACGTGTTTTTGCTAATTTAAGGACGGGAAATCTGCCTTGCGCCAAGGCGCATGGTCTAAAAGGGTTGAGTTTATTTTCTTAATGAGTTATAGGTGTGTTTTGAGAATAAACAATTATAGTCTCATCTCCCATTCCCTTTAAGACCCAGCTGCGTCGCGCCAAGAGCGCATTCGCTATTTACAGGACGCAAAGTAAGTCTAAGTGGAAAAAATTAGCATTTCACAAGCAAACAGTTAACAGTTTTTTAACAGAAAACTGTTAAATAGAGCATCTACTGCGTGAGAATGAGAGATAAATGATCTACTTTCATTTTTGCTCTTAGATAGGGAAACCTTTACGCACAGACATCAATTAGCCTGTAAATAATTAATTTCGTTTGTTAAGCGCAAAGATTTGTTTCAAAACTATTTCTAAATTCAGTTCTAATTTCCAGCAAACGAATAAATAAACAATAATGAATAATGATAATGAAGGGTGGTCAAAATACTGAGTTATTTCCAAATACACCTGCCATGCCCCATATGGTCTTAAACCTGCAGGTGGGCAAATCTAAGCTTGTTTTTAATAAAACAAATATAAATATGAATATATATATATATATATATATATATATATATATATATATATATATATATATATATATATATATATATATATATATTAATTAATACTGCTAATAATAATAACATTATACAAAAGCAAATTGTTATGAATTAACTGAAAAAGCCTCCCGAGATAAAGAAGGCAAAAAACAGTGTTTTTTCATATTTATGTAGGCTAGAAAATAATGTTTTGTAATACTTTAATCCTTTATATTTATATTCTATATCTATTCTTATTATATCCTATATATATCCTTAATATTTAAATTTTTTCATATGTAAAGATAATTGCCTATTGCTCTCTTGTGCGTATTAAGCAGTACGTAAGCAAGGCGCAACTCTGCGCCGGAGTTTAGACCGGGTTAGTTTTGGTCTAATGAAAAATATATTATAGTTTCTCAAAATAGCAACGCGCCAGCGGACCGCCTCAGAACGCCTTCCTTTTTAGACCAGAACGCCTATGGGCGCACAAATGATTGCTAATGCATTTGCTATTTAAACAGCATAGCGCAACGCCTCAAAACGACTCTTGCACCAAGCTGAAACTACCAAAAGACAACTGCGCCACGCCTTGCGCCACACTGCGCCGGGTGTATGATAGGGCCCATTATCTCTCATTCTTGCGCGATAGATGCTCTGTTTAACTGTTTTCTGTTAAAAAACCTTTAACTGTTTTTTTGCTTGTGAAATGCTCAGTTTTTCCACTTCCACTTACTTTACGTCATGTAAATAGCAAATGTGCTTATGGCGCGACGCAGCTGACTCTTAAAGGGAATGGGAGATGAGACTCTGATTGGTTTATTCTCAAAACACACTTATAACTCATTAAGAAAATTAACTCAACCCCTTTAGACCATGCGTCACAGCGCAATGCAGATTTTTCTGTCCTTAAATTAGCAAAAATGCATTCTGACACGCCCTGAAAGTGTTTGCGCCCTGGATTTGGGACACGTGAATTTTGCTAGCTGGGTATTTATTTCCATTTATAATGAGGTATATAATAATTTAATCTTTGTTCCTATAGTTTGTCATTTTGTCATAATTTAATTTGAATATTTGTGCTAAACTGCTGCATAGGATTGCTATTTTTTATTTTTGAAACAGAGGCAGACAATGTTTACTTCTTGTTAATGAAATAAAACAAATTTCAACAAGTTTAACCAGTCTTTAAACTAATTGCTGGCTGGAGATTTTTAATTTTGTATATGCATTTGCAGTATAGACCTACACTGTCGTGATTGTAGTAGGGGAAAAGGAGGAGTGAGGACTCAAATACAGTAACTTAAGTTTATTAATAATAGAAATAAAATAAAATGCAAAACAAACTACCCCGAGGAGGAAAATATTAACAAAACAAATAAATACACAAACAAACTTGACTCGGCTGGCTGGCAGGGATCAG